GAGAGGGAGAGGGAGAGGGAGAGGGAGAGGGAGAGGGAGAGGGAGAGAGGATGAGCCAGCAAGCCAACCTTCTCTTAGGTCTACCAAGGATATCCAGTAAGGTTCAGTGTCTCCAAATAGAAAACTATCTTACAAAGGTGGAGATATCTGTTTAATCCCATGAGGTAGTAGATGAGGTATGAGCCCATAAAATCCTAACCTATGCCTGAAATTGGTTGTGTGGCTTAAGGAAAACTGTAGGGGCCAAAATTATAAAGAAATGACTCACTTTTGGCAAGCCAGACAGTGGGGTCTGCTGGCCTGATGCCACCAGGGTCCAGAGAAAAGCTTGGCCTTAAGCAGACCAGGCCAGACCTGGAGATGTTGATGTATGTCATCTCATGGTCGGGGTAGGATGACAACCAAGAGTGGCATTAGAACATCCAGGCATTCCTCCGTAGCAGCAGATCCAGACTGGATCCCTTCCACTCTCTGCTGCGACCCACAGAGTCCCCAGAGATGTCTCCAGCACTTCAGGAGCCCACACTAGGCCTACACTAAGGCCACCCTATGCCAGCAGGTCTTTGTGGTTGTTTGGAACCAGAAAATGTATAACCATCAGAATAAGGTGGAACCATGGGCCACCCCCAGCTCTGCAGCACAGGTGAGCACTTCCAGACAGAAAAATATTAGATAGGCAGAATTAGATAGAACTAGGCTTCTTACACACTCTTCTTCCTGGTGCTGAATTCTAAGACCCAGGCTGTTAGCTCCCAAGGTCACGTGGACCAGGCCTGCCTCTGATAGTTAGTGGCTGCTTGGGGAGGGGGCAGGGTTTCCCACGCCCCAGCATGTGCAGGCCAGGTTTTTTCAATTTAGCGTAGTCATTTGCTCCTGGGCAAGGACCAGGTGTGCAGATTTTACACTTTGAAGAAGGGGGGTAGGGTTGGTTAGGGTACCCTGGCTTACATGGAATTAATTGGGTCTACTCCACATGTGTAAATAACCCACACACACACTGGCTTTGTCCACTTTGCATCTTGTAATGCCAGGGAAGTAAATAGCAGTACGGAAAGTCTCACAGAGAGAGAGCATCTTGGGATATCTCAGTGTGCTCTGGAAGCTGAGGACCCTAGACCAGTCTGTTCAGAGCAGGAAGAAAATGGGTCCACTTTGATATGGAATTAGTGTTTCCTTTGCCCATTCCATTCTCTGTGCATTTTTATTTCTGAATTTGTCTGACATGCTTTTGCATATCTTTGGATGGGGGGGGGTGTTGTGGATTATTTTTGGTTTGTTTGTTTGTTCCCATATTCTTCAAAATTTGGTCACGGTCTGGCCATTTTTAAAAGAAGAGGATTATGGGCTTGGAGAGATGGCTCAGAGGGAACAGTGCCTGCTGTCCAAGCCTGACTATCTGAGACCAGATCCCAAGTGCCCATATAAACAGCAGACGCAGTGGAGAACATCTGTTATCCCAGTGTACCTATGATTTCTGATGAGACAGGAGAATTCTCAGAAGCTTCTGGGCCAGTTAGTGTGCCCAGTGCCCTATAAAATGTTGAAGAAAAGATAAGGGGATTCTGCTTCAAACAGAGTAGAAGCAGGGAGCAGCCGTCACCAGTGTTGTCTCCATTGACCCATGCCCCATAGCATGCACTCACCGGTGCTCATGTGCAAACCTGTACAATTATAAAATGTGCTGTGGCATGCAGTCGCCTGCAGCATTTCACAGGAGGCATCATCCTACAGAGCCTCTGGGTCTCCTGACCCACACTGGCTGTGACCATGTAGGGCTGGTCCTGTGGATCACAGTCTTCTCCAGCTCCCAGTGTCTACAAATTTCTATATGCATTAGCTGCCCCTCCCTAGGAGACATCAGAACCCTGATGGGCAGACACCTACTTGAGAATTAGTGCTCTAAAAGAAACTATTGAACTAGCTCTAGGGAAGGGAGATAGCTCAGAGAAACAGTGCTTACCTGTAGTAAAATGCTTGTCTGGCAAGGCCATGAGTTCAGTCCCCAACAGTGCCAAAACAAACAAACAAATAGGAAGTAGCTTCCAAGTCTTCTGACTCCTGAGTGCATCGTGCAGCACGATTCACCGTGTGTTGGGCTGATGGTTTTTGGAAGCTGTAACAATGCACACTGTGGAGGGAGGTGCTGCAGTTTATTGACAGGTGAAGCTCTGGGCAATGTGTATGTATGTCTACCTAAGCTAGGAATGTGCACAAGTAGAGCAAGAGGTGCAGACATTTATTTTTGTCTTGAGAAGAGTTCGCTAAGGTTCTGTATGTCACTAATTGCTTCCAAGTCACTGCAGTGATTTAGAAGTTACCCTTAGTATCACAGGATCACACCCAGAAAACCACCACAGCCAGCCAGAACCCTCAGAAGGTTGTCTGGATACTTCTGGCTGAAATATGTGTCCCCTTTGAGATAGCCTAGGAGTGATGTCACAGTGCTAAGGCTGTGAGTGAAGGAAGCAGAGGGAGGGAAACTTGCTTAAGAGTCTGGATTTCCATTAGAACAAGTTAAGATCAACCCAGAGCTGGGATCACCAAGGGCTTGAATGCACTACAGTGCCATCTCAGGACAGAATCACAACCTGCCAGGCCCCAAGGAATTGGGGAGGGGGGAATATTCCTATGCAAAGAGCCCATAACCAATCAGCAGTTGCTAAGGCACTAGGAAACCTAACAAGCAGATAGCTAGGTCTGGAGCTTCAGAGGCAGGTCCAGACTTTGGTCCCCAAAGTCCTCAGTGGTATCCATGATTAGAAAGTTGAGGTGAAGGACTCTGTCCCAGGCTGCAGAGCTCTACCACACAACCCAACCATGTTTAGCAGAAAGTCTTGGCAAAAGGCAGCCAAATTCAAAGTGCTGACACAGGACCCCTATCATAATCAAGAGCGTAAAGTGTGTCTGAATTCATTATAAGTGCTACTTTTGTGGGGAAACATTTACTATAATTTACCTCTAGATTTACCTCAGTAAATCTCTGAAAGTGTCTATGAAAAATAAACCCCCTTTGGTTATGTCAGTATATAGAGGGGATGTCTCCAGAATCCTAATGCTGGATCTGGGTGTGGCTCTTCTCCAGGGATGGTGTGTTCAGATTTCTACAGGAGAAGATACAAATCACCTTACCACATCCTTCAGGAGGTTTCAATTTGAGATGAGCTCTGAATATGCAAATTACCCATCAAATAAATATTTTTAAAAGAAAAATAGGTCTTTCACTTAAAATGATTTTTAAAGTTTTATTT